TGCAGCACGAAGGAGAAGAGCTCGGCGAAGGATAGGAAGCTGCTGGCCGTCATAGGACTGAGCGGGTCCAGGTTGCTCTGCTGCATGTCCAGAGCGTACTTCCACAGACTGATGCAGCGCTCGAAGTTGCCCGAGTCGGCGTAGACGGCTCCGCGGTAGCGGATGTAGTAGGACGTGTCCGGGTGCGAGGGCCCCAGGATGCGCTCTCGGATCAGCAGCGCCTGCATGCGCATCTCGTCCGGGTCGGTGATCAGCGCCTCCAGCTCCTCAGCCGTGCACACCTCGCGGGCGCAGTCGTACGCCAGCACCGGCGGCCCCGGGGCCGGTTTAGCCAGGGTCTTCTCGCCCGCCTGCCGCAGCTCCATGGCTCTCCTCCAGTAGCGCATGGCTCCCAGCAGGTCGCGCTTCTTGTCCACGAAGGTGGCCCCCAGCAGCTCCAGCGCGTCGATGCGGTGCTCTCGGGCGGCACGCGGCTGGTGCACCAGGTACTCCACGATGTTGGTGTGTCCGGTGACGCTGGCGGCGAGCAGCGGGGTCATGCCGTATCCGTCCCGCTCCATGCGTGCGCTGCCCTTCAGCAGCATCTTCATGATCTCCAGACTCCCGGACTCGGCGCAGTCGTGCAGAGCTGTGTTGCCCTTCACGCTCCGGCGGTTGACGTCGGCTCCTCGCTCCAGCAGGAACTTGGCGATCTCCTTGTGGCTCTTGTAGCAGGAGATCATCAGGCAGGTGTGGCCGTGCCGGTTGGCCACCTCCATGTCAGCGCGGTGCTCCACCAGGTAGCGCACGATCTCCAGGTGTCCGTCGAAGCAGGCGGCCCGCAGCGGGGTGGAGTTGGTGAGGGTGGTGCTGTTGACGGAGGCTCCGCGCTTCAGGAGCGTCTTCACCACCGGCAGGTGCCCCGCGGCGGAGGCCGCCCACAGCGGCGGAGCGCCCTCGATCGTCTCGCCGTCGAAGTTGACGGATCCGCCGAGCTCCACGCTGGCCCTGCAGTGCTCCAGCAGGTACTCCACCACCTCCAGGTGTCCGTAGCGCGAGGCGATCAGCAGCGGCGTGCCTCCCTGCGTCTTCTCCTCCGCCAGCGCCTCCAGCTCCTCCGGACTTTTGTTGCTCAGCAGCTTCTGGA